CGTTTGTGTACTGAAATATTGAATAGGTTATTACAGAATGTTTATAACTTTGGTGACAAGTTGTACTCTGAAATCTACAAAATTTCACACCTAAAGATGTTTTTTCCTGAATTTTCTGTTATTTCACCTGACTACTTAGCTAGATTTAATCAATTATTTCAACACATTCACCAAATAAACAGTTTTTTCAATTGTTTGATTTTCTAAGGTATTTTTGAATAGAAAATGAGTTGAAGAATGATTTCAAAAAAAAGGTACACAGCTACTACACCAACACTCCACTATGTTTCAGAACTGCTGTGGAAATAAAACTTTCTTCAAGTACGATTCGGCGTCATTTTTGTGTATCTTCAGCTTCCATAAAGAATGTTCGCTGCAAGTGGCCGTCGACGGATATATCTCGAATAATTTTACCATCAACGTTGGTGTTCCCCAGGGACCTACATTGTCTCCAACCCTTTTTCTATTGTATATCAACGACTTATTGGAAAATATCACGAATCCAAAATATTGCTTTGCTGACGACAGTTCACTTGTTTCGTCATTCCATTTGGATTCCAGGACATGCACATCTTCACCAGAGCAGCAGGAGGTTGCATGTCTTAATGAGGATCTAGAAGTGATTTCGAATTGGGGTGAAAGTAACCAGGTTCAATTCAATGCCACAAAAACCCAGGCATCGGTTTTCTCCAAAAAGATGAAAGTTTCCGAACCGGATATAATAATGTCAGGTCAGACAATTTCATTTTCTGCTTCGATAAGTTTATTGGGGGTTAAAATGGACATCAATATGTCTTGGCACAATCGTGTCGCTGGAATTGCAAAGGCTGCTTCCCAAAAGCTTGGGACACTGTTCCGAACCAGAAAACTGTACACACCTCAGTAACTTCTGATGCTTTATAAAGCTCAGATCAGACCTATGGAGTATTGTTCCCATGTATGGAGCTCCGCCCCTAAGCATTCCCTGAAGATGCTGGATTCCATCCAGAAAAGAGCCATCCGCCTGATGGCAGACGCGAACATCACTTGCAACCTTGATAGTCTGGAACATCGAAGAAAGGTTGGAGATTTGTCTCTCTTCTATAGATACTTTCACGGGAAGTGTTCAAGTGACTTGGCACATTTGATTCCTCAAAGAGCGGGACTATGGCTGCTCATCGTTTTGAGGTTCAACTCAGTACACCTCGAACTTCACTGTTTAAGAACTCTTTCACTTGGAGAACTACGTTTACGTGGAATAAACTTTCTGAAAACGTTTTTCCAAATGGATTTAATCTCCAGCGATTCAAATCCAATGTGAATCACTAGCACAGACACAGCTCTTAGAACGCCTTAAGGATTTTCCTGTAGTGTTTTATTTTTATAAAAATAAAACGTGTCGAGATCTGATTAGAATCGTGCCATTCCTTATGAACTCGCTATGAGTCCATTTTTTAGTGAATTCAGTCTGTTTGTATTTTTCTTTAGATAGTAAAAATTCGTATTAAGTTATAAGAAATGTTAATTGCTTTTGAACTTTTATTCACAGGAATGAGTTTTACAAATTCTCCAGATTAGATGATGTGGAAAATGAACTGATTCATTCAAAGATGATTAAAATTGAAAGGGGTATTTTTGTAAGTGAGATTAATATTTGTTGAAGAAAGGTTTTTCTACTTCTCTAATCTTCATACATTTTTGGAGGAAGAGGAGTAGAAATCCAAAACTTTTCTTTCTCAAAAATTCAAAAATGGTTTATTAAAATATAAAAGCAATTGAAGCATTATTTTTGAATACCCTGTAAAAAGCACTCAGTGGAGTTGCATAGAAGAAGGATAAATAAAATCCCAGAAAATAATTTATGATTTTTTATGCATTCTCATTCTATCAAATACTTTGTGGTTTTCTAAAAGCACTATTTTTAAAAACAATGCAATGTGGAATATCTCAGAATCATCAGCTACAATTACAGAAAATTCTAGGTGTCATATATATTTTGTAGAACTTAAAATTCAATTTTTGTGAACTCAGAAAAAGTCATTATGACGAAACACATTCATACTATTTTATTAATCCACCCATTTTGTTAAATTCGATTTTTTATCATTATTATTATTATTATTAAAAAATGTATCGTAGAATCTTAATATGGTGGCAATAATTATATTAGAAAAGATGGATGTTTATGGTTAAATCCATTGTGTGAAAAAAAATTTGAGAATGGCCCAGAAAATGATTTGTTAAGGTTCATTCATTCCTTCATTTAGGTAACTAACTACCTAGGAGGTAGCACTGCTTTTAAAACAAATGCAGTTTCTGATAATCACTTGAATTGACTTAGGTATAGAAAATCAAAATTTCATCTAGATTTTTTGTAGAAATCAGATCGATAAAGGAATTTTGATTGGTAGTAAGTTGAAAAGTATTTTCAAAATTCTCAAAACATCCACAGAAACCGATTTTTTAGATTTATTATAGACTTGTGTTGGTTGAAATTGATTTAGAATCGATATGGTAAAAACAATAATAGCTAGTTCTAAGATGTTATTTTCAACACATCAGATGAAAAAACCTTTTTGTCTTTTTATAACTTCAGATTAGATGATGTTGTCATGTTTGACTTTGAAAACAAAGTGCTCACACTAACTGGGAAAACCCATCATCATTTTTGGCATTGAAACCGTTCAGATTTTCCTCATTATTTTGGGCTAAAGTACCTATATGATCAAATTGATAAACGATTTCAAAAAAACCACTTGAAAATCCATACAGGGTGTCGAATCAATGATAACTTCAATGGAAAATGGCAATCCGGCACTTCACGAAATTTGAAAACTACCATCTAAGTCAAACCCGCTTCGGGTACGACTGTTCCGCGTACCGTAATCACCCGGTATACAAGTAAAAACCGAAGAGAACGTAAAAAACATGCACCGCCCGAGATCCGATCTCAGAACCATTCGAATTTCCGTTTGTATCGTCTGAGCCAAACAACAGTTATCCGGCTTGCCTCGCCTGGTCCGCGAGAAAATTTACTAGAACCACGTCTTCCCAACGCTGTCTGTAAAAGTTCAGACGAGTACGCCGTTTGCAGTGCCGCCGCCATCACGTGCCATTTTCATCGTGGTTCGGTAGAATTTCCGTCGGCGAGTTCGTCCCTTGTCCCGTTGATTTATTCAGGGATCCGAGCTATGAGTTCGAAGGAACCCTCAGTTTTCATCACTAGAGCTGCGCGCCGGTCGTACACTCAACTAGGTCGGTACCTCGGAGTTCGCTGTGGAAACGAGACCCCACATGGCATTTATTTCGTCATGGCAGCCACGACGAGATTCTTTCGGTTTAATGCGTACCCTGAACATATTAGAGCTCTACAGTGTTCCGCCGCAGTGTTGCCAATGTGTGAGGATTTCCCCCGCCTACTGGATTTCGGCCGCCTTGGAATAGCCGGAGGCTATTGACACGAATGTGAGTGGAGTATTTTGTATGGATTTTATAGTTCCGTTGTTAGTCCAGTCAATAATAATGTTGTATACTGCAAGGAATATGCGAGAGTTTTAAACTTTGACTTCATTTCCGTTCTTGGGGGTGGACATAAGGTGGGAGGGGAGGGTGAAGATCCCATTGTTGGTTATTTCTTGCGAACGGTTGACTTTAGAACAATAAGTACCGATAAAGAAGAAAGTCAATTTAATATCCCACAGAATTGTTTCTATACATATGTGTCAAGTTCCTGAGATGTATGTTATTGAAAATCGATAATTTTCGAAAAAAAAACCCTCACTTATGTTTGCTTCTTGTTTCTCAGAAATTCAACTTTTGCTACTTTATTCTCCACTGTAACAAAATATATTACTCAGAATAACTTTTATAAAAAGTGTTCAAAATAATGAAAGTATTAGCGTAAACCGATAATAAAAACATCAATAAAGAGAGATATTTTAATTGAAATCTAGTTAGAGAATTATTATATGCATCAATTTTCTCAAATATCACATAGTTGATTGGAATTTTGCGAGGTATTTTGTGTATATTGCAGAATCCATGGACCAAGCATTGATGTTTCCACACTAACAAAAATAAAATAATATTATCATTTGTCAAAGTAAGTATAGAACAGAGTGATGGCAATAGTCTTGTATTCACATAGTTCAGCTATCTTTCTCATTCATACTGAAAATTCCAAAAATGACTATAGACCGCAAACTGTCAAGGCTCATTTTAAGAGACAGGCAGTCTTTACATTCTTTTAACTATTCGAAGTCCAATGAACTAAAATTCGATTTCAAAACAAATATTTTGTATCGAATTTGTTGGGGGTGAGGAAAAAACACCCCAGGAGAAAAGTAGGAAGATATTTTCAGTTGAAAATTACACGAAATGAAGCCATAAACCTGACATCCAAATAATATGTATGCATATCGAGCTGGATATTCCAGAAATTCTCAACATTCACGTAGACTGTTTTGAGTCAATGGAATAGTTTAGAGATATTCAGGAAGGAAACAGTGACTACCAGTTTACTGTAAACGAAATTATGGACTATCCTACTGGCAAAAAATCAGAATGGCTAAGCAGACCTTTCAAAGAAGTGTGAAAAGTGAACCCTAAATCTAACAGATTTAAGCTACTAATAAGTTCTTTTATAAACTTTTCCACAAATTATTGAAGAACACTTGCTATTGAGAGAAACGAAGCAATGAGAAAGAAGAGCGACTTTACATCATCCGGAAAACATTTCAAAAGTTATAATTGTTAAATTAGTGTTGAAATTTTGATCCAGTTGGAAACTAGAAGAAAAGTAAGGTAAAAATTATTCATTTCTTTTATTGATTTTCAATAACGTATACCTTGGAAATTCGAGAAATATTTCAACAACTGTTCTTCATATGATGCACTGTTTGGAACCTTTGGTGTAGATTAAAAAGTTTAATCTTCCTCTTGAAAATGATCACTTGGTGATCGAAACACGTGTCGAGGTGTTAAAAATAGCGATTTGGTGTTGGGAAAAAACTCCAGTAATATTCAACCGTTTATCGGGAAACAAACATTCGTTTTGATTTTCATTCAGAACATCATTTTCCAAAATTCACCTCCTTCCCGTCCACCTCTCAGGATTGGGAAGTTTAAATACATATGTTTACCTACTATTTCTTAAGGAGAAAAATGCCCTGGATTCCATAACTTTCGCATAGTTCATGACCACTCATTGACTGGGCTATGTAGCGGTTTCTCGGAATAATGCGGCGTTTCAGTTCAGTTTTACACTTAGATTAGGATGCCGTGAGGACACTTGCTTTCTTGTACGTCATTCGGAAATTGCAGTGACGTTGAATGTGGTATTGTGTAATTTATAATTGGAACGTTGTTTTCATCTGAGCAATGCTTCTCTTATCAGATGAATTGTTGAACTGATAACCTGGCGTCGCTACTGTTTGATAATAATTGTGTGGAACGGTGATGCCAATTTTACCCACAGCAAACGCTACAAATCACTCACTAACATACTTTCGTACTGGCCTACATGTTCTATGGCGAACTCACCTAAGCATTATAAAAAAGAGAATCAGAACGAGGATAGAGAAATGAAAGTAGACATCTATCTATAGAAAGTTTCGTATAGGTAAAAAAGTATTTCGTATTTGATGAAGCGTTTTGAAGGTTTATTTTGTTTGTAGATGAAATGTCCCTTTGAGCGGTTAACCGGCCAAAGAAAAGTATTTTTTTGGCCGTTAGGCCCATGCATTTTTTTACATGATTACGCTGTAAATGTCTAATTACGCATTAAATAGTTACAAGAATTGAAAGTTATTTATTTATCACAAAAAAAAACTGAACTTGAGACCCGCCGTTAGGCTTACACCCCCTTTGATGCCATGTGGATCAGATAGCAACTCTCATGTTTTACGAGGTGGGACTTAAAAATGTATTGAATATGTTCGTGTATGTTTACTGAAATTTCTCAAAACATTATTCGGAAAAGTGCCGGAAAACACCTATTCGAATTTTCGATATGGTTAATTTTCAATAGGTTTACGAAGCATTGTTGACTATACGATATATGCGACTTTCCAAACGAAGAGACTATGCTGTGTGCACAATTAAAAAAAAATGTTTGATTCTGAACAAGTTCTCTATGGGTCTATCTTCACAAATGAAAAAAAAGTTGGGGTCCGCCGTGAGGGCGTAGTTTAATACAAGCTCTCTAAATTCTAAAGGTTTATAAATGGTGTATAAATAGTTACAGAAAAATCAGAAACGACTGTTGTTATCTTCAGTCATTTCTGATTCAGGCGCTGAATGAAACGAATGAATCATCTGCCTTTTGCAGCAAAAGTCGAACCTATGTCCTGGAAAATGGCCGCGCCGGAACTAATGAAAGTCGAAAATGAAAATGATCACCATGTATTAGATGAAGTTCAATCATCTAGAGATCGCCGTCGATGTGTTAGTTGTTATGTAAGTATAAAGAATGTTGGAGGTAGGGCAAACGCGCAGAAAAATACACAAAAAACGAGATTCAGATGCATAACTTGTAATAAATTCTTCTGTTTACAGTGTTTCTTTGTAATACATAAGTGTCATAAATGAGATTATATGTGTATATGAAATTAATTTGATTATAAATAAAAACATTCGATGAATAAATTCTACGGTGTTTCATTCCTTAAAAAATCAGGTCAGGTATAAGTTCTGTATTAAATGGCAATATATGTTGCCTAAATCCATATTGAGTGGTGAGAGCTACACCTGAGATCACAGGGCCTGATGCCAAACTCTATAGTTGGGTGGGCCATATGTCAATTCACATTGCTATCAACGTGTTAAAGAAACTAATAGAAAAATTCTGAACGGATACGGTTTGGGTGAAGTAAGGTTATACAAACATACTTCTAGTTCTAAATTTCTTGATGGTATTAGAAATTACTATTGCCTAGCTGTGTGACCTTATAAAATATGATAAACGAAAATGATTTGATTTGCTGATTATTTCTCAACTCCTTTGACATCTGTCAAAGAATTTTTAAATACGACAAGTTACTGATAAATAGAACTTTTTTTTTATGAAAAATACTTTCATTTTACGCAGTAACTTATGGGGGTAAACTAAAATGTTTGCCCTTTCTACACTTGTATAAAGTTCTCCATTATAATTTTCATATTTTTCAGATAATCAAAAGTATGGATAATGCGTAGTTTTAGTGCATAATTCATAAAAGTAACAAACACTAGCTGTGATATGATCATGTAAGTGATTCATAAATGATAGTTTTGAAGTTCTTTCGGAAAAAATGGCACAGTATGATACCAACCTTTATCAAAGTAATTTGAAATTGAAATTATTGTAATAGTATACATTATTATGAAACAAGTTTATGCTGCAGCAGATTACTGCATCAGTGTTTTTTTTTCGCGAACTTCAAGATTCTTGTAATTTTACACTATAAAAGAGTTTTTTACTATTTTATCACTGATTAGATTGCATTTCAACAAATAATGTATCACTGTTGAATCAAAAATATTTTTAAAGTTTTCTTTATCAATTATTTGGTGAATAAACACACATTATTTGTAAATTACTGAGTGAATTGTAATTGTAAATTGCATTCCGAAGATATGAATTTGGCCGACGAAATTCTGAAAAAGTTGCACATATATACATAATTTCATCGGTTTGGACTTCCACTGTCTAATATAATATAAATTGATTTGAAATCCCTGAAAGAAATTAAAGAGATTAACCGAAAAATAACAATTTTATTAAACAAAAAACTGAAATTACACAAAAATAACATACAAGCAACAACCATGTTATTTCTATGTAATTTCAGTTTTTTGTTTAATAAAATTGTTAATTTTTTGCTTAATTTCTTTTAGGGATTTCAAATCAATTTATATTATAATAGATAATGGAAGTCCGAACTGATGAAATACACCACGAAACATTTTCCACCACCTTCAAACAAACGATATATTATACATAATACATACATACAACAAAGCATTCAATAAATTTACTCAATGAATGCGATTCACAGGTGTCGGAAAGTGTGGAATTATTGATGATTTTGACGTTCATGATATGGTCGGAGATTAAATAAAGTTATTTTTCTTCAATATCTGAAGTCATATATTATATGCATATAAAATTTAACTATCCAAAATTCACAAACTATAAAAAATTGTCTGAAATTCTCTTGTATTTAACCATTCAGACCGATATAAAATCTTTCGACTAGGGATATATTATATATTTTTGAATGATGTATATCTTTTCAGTGTACTGATAATATTTTATACAGATATATTTCAAAATTCCAATTCCTGTACTGGTCATAAATTCAAACTTTCTTACAGAATTTACTTTTGATTGTCGATTTCTTCGCTAAAAGTTCCAATTCATTAAGGATTTTCCGTAATATAAACCACATACAAATTGTCGCATTTATCTAGCAGGGAAGTTTTTATACAATTCAGTTAAAGAATTCATCAAACCTCTCAATACACTTTTCACTTGAAATTTTATTTTGGCAGATAGTATAAAATTACTTTTTTTGAACAAACGAAATATTATGATTATACTGATCGGTTACTTGATGAAAATTAACAACATTATCCACGATAAACAAGTTCCACACCATGAATTTTACTGAAACATCAAACTACTCTATAATGTTTTTTATATAAGTGTAGATAATTACAATACTTAATTAGATAAATTATAAATTCTAGTAAAACAGGTAGATTTACGATTACCATACAATATTACCTACTCCTAGGAAAACAGGTGATTTATAAATGTGGTAGTTTTCTTATCTCCATTTTCAATATTTCGATGTGTATACGTTTTTGAGTCGTGTTATCTTGTTTCATTCATTAAATCTGATCGTCAACCAGTTGTCTCTCACTAAGAGGGGCAAATATCCTCCAATATTGAGGGTACCGAATGTATTTCATTGAAAAATGAGAAAATCGAGAAAAAATTGTTTCAGTGTTTTGATACACCCAGTATAGGAGAAGAAATCTTGAATTTCATTCGTTCGGACTGACATTGTCTAATATGTTTTAATAAGATTTGAAAACCCTGAAAGAACAAATGAAAATAAAAAAAATGGCTGAGAAGATTTTCATATTCAATTTTATTCTTTCAGAGATTTCAAATCATATTATATCATATCAGACAATAGAAGTCCGAACTAATGAAATTCACTAAGAAACATTGTGAAATACCTTCAAACAATTGAAATCTTGACTACATTATTATTAGATAAAAAAACCTTCATTTTAAAAATATTTCTGTGACATGAGTTTCCAATGAAAATGTAGACAGTTGAATTAACTTTTTGACTATATTTTTTCATTTACTTCTGAACCGCTCGGTGCATACCGATACAATCGCATATTTTTCGAAAGTACATTTCTAACGGTTTCCGAATATGGAAAGCATTATTTACGTTACGTTTTCACTATTTGATTTCATTTCAGAAAAGCCTAGTGCATGAATATCTAAACCTTCTATATGAAACAATTTTTGACAACTTCATTCCTTCATCTCAAACTTCTAAAGAAATCTCGATGAAACATATACTCATAATGAACGCAATGGCAGCCATCGCTTATTGCTTGTCATGCCTCAGTTAGTGTTCCCCATTAAGTTCACAAGAAAAAGGTAGAGCAGATGTTTGCCCCTCGAGTCGGAGGGGATGTCTCCATTGTCGAGAAATTGTTGGATATTGAGGGGTCCGATGGATAGAAATAGTTGTTCATGACTGAATAACCTTCAACCCAGCGAGCCAGAGTCGTATCTAGGGGAAAATTGTTTTGGAAACTTATCGAAATCTTTAATCTTTTCTATATAATCTATTGGGTTAAATTTTCGACTGAAATCAGGTCCTCGATATCAATCAAATATTTCTCAGTGTAACTCATGATGGGATTTAATATTCTGGTTTTCGAGTTTGCTTTACCGGAAGAATGACAAAAATATTTCTTTCAAAATCAGTGTCATCTTCATCCTCGTTTAGTAAGTATGAAGTCATGAACTAATTTTCTGTACGAAGTTTGTTTAGTAACCTGATTCCCGGTAATTTGAATATTTCCATTGCAGAATTTAGTTTACGTGTTCATAGATGACGCTAGATTATGCAACTGAAATGGAGCAGAGACTCGGACTTTCGGAAGACAGTGTGTGTCGCATCTGTTTGGAGCAGAGCACATATTTTGTGCCTGCCCCGCTGGGGACCGAATCAGGTTTTTAGAGTTCGGAAGAGCCGTACTCTTACCATCTGACCTGAAAGACCACTCACCATACAAACTAATCGGCTTCGTCTAGAAGCTGGGTTTATTCGGTCGAGTGTGAATAGGTATGAGCCACAATAGACCCTTGATGGCTGCGGTGGAGGGTCGAATGGACCCACTCACTTTGAACCCAACCTAACCTAAATGGAGAAAAACCATATTTGTAAAATTCGCATTTCTTTGTCCGAAAACTACCAGTTGCTCCAAAATTGACAGTGCACTCAGTTGATGGTGGGTTTGATAATGAAGTACCATCAGCAAAGCTGTTGATAGGAGTTCACTCCTACTTTACCGCGACAAATTAACTACAATTCACAGTTACGATGTGATAGATACACTAGTGGAGCAAATTCGCGAAGCAGTGTCCTATTACGAGAAGTGCCCACTAAGAATCAAAAGGGACGATCAGTACTCTTTTTGATGGAACAAAAGCCTTGAAAAAGAAAAGAAGTTCAACGTCAGGTATCCAGGAGCTTCTACTCCAACGACTTACAACTTAGAA